AAAAAAAAAAAAACTTTTACAGGAATTATGGCTACAAAACAGGTTACAAATCTTGATTACATAAAATGTTAAGAAAAATGGGCATTGGTGGGACAGATTTTTGCTAAAAACCAATCAACAGCCAAGGCTTAAATTTATATTTGTAGATGCAACTGGACCCAGCCTTTCAAAGCATTTCATATTTATTCTTGATTTTGGAGAGCTCATATAGTGATGCTTCTTGTGAAACAATATTTGAAATTCAATGAATCCTTCAGATCTACTTAAAAAAAAAAATTATATATAAACATATTTGTAGATAACATGTAACCTGGTAATATKTTTCTAACCTTTAAGGACATGGGTCTGCCTAAAGTCTGAAAGACTAATTTCAGACTCTGGTTAGGGTAGGTTCTGCTCACATACGATATAGMCAAGGGAATTTTAATTAACCTCTTTTTATCTCAACTTCTACCTTGATAAAAAAGGTAGATTTAAATATTAAATGAATTCTACACAAAGAACTTTTAACACAAATAGTAATGATTACTTGCCAAATGCTGGTGAAGTTTTTCTGCATAGAAGGWATTTGGATGATTCTTTTCTTTCAACTTTTCTGAAATATTTGTTTTTATATCTGTGCTATCAAAGACGGCACCCAAAATTCATTTAAAAAAAATGAAAACCTTTTCACAACCAAACTAATATCCTCTAATTGAGAGGACACTTGGTACTATTTAAGTAAACTAGATTTTTAAAATGTTAAAAATCACAAGACCTTATAGATTCAATATCCACAGTCACTGTAAACCCCTCTGAAACGAGATTATAGTCTTCAGAGTTTAACTACTGATGAGCTATGTTGAGCATCAACAAGTGTATGTTTACTGTTACTTGAATTTTGTATTATGATATTAAAAGCCCAAGAAAAGGCTCACATTATTCTAGTATATAATTATAATTTTGAGACATTCTGTAGTAAYAGATGAAGAAACTCGATTTTGGAATTTACCAACATTAGGAAAATAATGGAGTTTCAGTTTTTTCATCTTTAAAATGAGAGTGATGACAGTACTTACAAATGTGTTTTAGCACTATATTCACAAATATTAGCTAATAATGGCCATGTCACCAGGTATCAGATCTGAATACATTTATTTAATAATATTTATTGCAGGCCTACTTACTGTGCCGAGTACTCAGTTGGTAACTTATGAGCATGGAAAAGAAGCCTAATTTTCTTAAATCTCTTATTTTTTATTCTGATCAATAAAGGTGTAGACCTAATATTTAGGTTTACACCTAAATAATTTACATTAATTTCTCCATTAATACAGTGCCTAGAATAAAATATTGGTCAATGCATTTTTGTTAAATGAATACATACCAAGAAGGAACTGATAATCAAATTACAATTGAAAATAATTTCAGACCGGTTTTCAGAAGCTATCCAAGCCAGGTATGACAGCACACACCTGTAATTCCATCAACTCAGGAGGCTGAGAGGAGGATTGCAAGTTCAAGATCAACCTCAACAACTTACCAAGACCCTGTTTCAAAATAAAAAAGAGCTGGGGAAGTAGCTCAGTGGTAAAGTTCCCCTGGGTTTAATCCTTGGCATCAAAAAAAAAAAAAAAAAAAAGTAGTAGTAAGGAAAGTATATGGGATATATAGGTTCTTCATATGGTCAATCCTCAGATTCTATTTCTAAATTTATCTATTCTCTAAAATTTGTCTAACTCCAAAATCAATACTCATGGAAGTTTCCAGATCCATTGGTAGACGTGTCTTTTTTGTGGTTGATTTAGTGACATATTTTTAAATCTGTAAATGCTGTCTAGTGTTTCTCAGAGCAAGAAGGCTGTGATGCACCTTATAGAAAAATAGATGTTACACAAAGTTCATCAAGGCTTGCATTGTAGTGCTGGTGGCGGTAACTCAATGTTAATCAACAATAAAGTACCTTTCTTAACAGCTAATAGTGTTTAATAGTGTTTTCTAACAACTGATCAATACATAAAACAAGGTTATRTATTAATCAGTTGGTTAAAAAAAAAAAGTTGTGGTGAAAGGCTCAGAGGAATCTAACTTTGTATTTCTCCTAGGGATAATGATTCAGTATCTGCTAATTCAGTGCTCTAAAGACTTATAATTATCTGTGAATAATGAAATCTGAGTGTATTTGTGTCTCAAGAAAGTAATTACTTGAAGGTGAAGATGATGAATACACTGAAGGTAGAAAACAAGTTTTACTATGTTACTATGTTACAAGCAAAAGAACTTTAAGCATTCAGAACTTTCTAAATTAAGTATCATCTCAAGTAACCATCATATTCTTTGTTCTCTTGTTTTCTGAAGTGTTTTGTATATTGCAGGGTCACCTCAACTTTGAGGATCATTTCTGAGAACACAGCATCTTTCCAAATCTAAAACTACAGTAATAGTACTTACTTTGAAGAGTTCCTACTCTCTCCTCTTTCTCATTAAAGTTTTGCTGCCAGCTTCCATGTTTCAATTTGGATATGAAGAGATTCTTGTGAGACCTAAACAAAAAGTGAAAGCATGTAATTCCTAGTAAAGATAGGGAGGAAAAGGTACATGATTTATCACTATGTCTGTTCTAGGATCTTCTACTTTGGCCTGCTTCCTTCCATTCTCTCCTTGTTTAGTGCTCCATGTTAACTTTTGGTTTCTTAAGACTTCTGTTGTCAGACTTCCCTCTTTCATCTCTTTTCTCGGAAATCAAGATTCTACTGGCAAAGGCATCGGGCTCCGTTGCCAAAAAATTGACAGGGGGCCCCAAACCACAAATATACGGAGCACTGGAGGAACCCAGCAACCCCATCAGGCTAGTGCCCAGGACATCAGAACCCTCATCAGACAAACCAGAGGGAGCGCAGGGTTGGACATCTGCGCCTCCGCCAGATCAGTACTAACTCCAGAGATGGGAGTTCAAATCATTCCCACAAGTGTGAAAGGACCTCTTCCCAAAGGAACAGTAGGCTTATTATTGGGACACAGCTCTTCTACTATAAAAGGACTTTTGATAAGTCCTGGGGTAATTGATCCCGATTATGAAGGTGAAATAAAAATTATAGCCAGTTCTCCAAAGGGTATATCAGTAATTTCACCAGGAGATAGAATAGCACAGTTATTAATAATACCAAGCCTACATGATAAATTTTCCAGTCATGCTGTAGAAAGAGGTCCCAAGGGATTAGGCTCCACAGGTGTAGATTGCGCTATGCTTTCTTTAAATTTAGATTCTCGCCCCATGCTAAAACTAAATATTCAAGGACATGAATTTAATGGGCTACTAGATACAGGTGCATACCTTAGCATCATCTCTAGTCAAGAATGGCCAAAACATTGGCCATTACAACAAGCCACTCAAACGCTTCGAGGCCTAGGAGTGGCGACTAATCCCGATAGAAGTGCAATGGTATTAGATTGGAAGGATCCTGAAGGATGTGAAGGAACTATACAGCCAT